ACACCCCTACCTGCTACAAAACATATTTGTCTTGTTGAAGAAAGTCAATTAATTTAAATCCTATTTTGTTCTAAACAAGAGGATATAACTTTAATCAAAACAACAAACACAATGTTCATTCATCCAATAAAAAAAACTAGGGTTATGGTTTCACTTCTATATTTGATCACTTAAGCCACAGGTGTCAAACTCAGTTCCAAAAGGGCCGCAGCTCTGCACAGTTTAGTTCTAACCCTAATTAAACACACCTGATCAAACTAATTGAGTCCTTTAGGCTTGTTTGAAACTTACAGGTAAGTCTGTTAGAGCAGGGTTGGAACTAAACTGTGCAGGGCTTCGGCCCTTTTGGAACTGAGTTTGACACCCCTGACTTAAGCCAATGAAAAAAAAACATTTGCCTTAATATTGTTTTAAGTCTAGGAAAGTACAAGGCATATTGAGCTTTTGTTTAATATACACATGCACTTAATATTTTACATTGGTCAAAAATAACAATTCTTAGTTAGGCTCTTAATCAAAAACATTTAAATTAGACTATGTTTTGAGGTTAAAATATCCTACTAGAAATATAAAACACGTAATATTAAACTGAAATGACCGATACATTTTTAATTGGATGAAGTACTGCTTGATTTTTTTTTTTTCAGTGTATCAGTTCTTGTCGCTGCTCAATTATTAAAAATGGTTTTTAGTTTTATGGATGTTCAAAGCAGTTCCTGATGCTTAATCTTTTGATTTGTAATTTTCAAGAAGAATAGAGAGCTCAAAAGAGCAGCATTTATTCTTTGGGAACGTCATACTGTTACTCTTTGTCAAGACTGAAAAAAGCTTTACTTTTTTTCCTCACTCCAAACTTTGTAATGGTTTGCAATCTTGCAAAAGCAGCTCATATAGTCGGATGTTAAAAGGATCATGACCTAAAAAAATTCTTTATGCTTCTCTGACATTCACTGAAAATGGTAAACAATAAATGGAAAGTAATAGGCTATTTGTCCTGTTCTGGCTGCCCTCATCAGAATGCTCTTGTTGAATTGTAGACTAGGTACTGTGTCTATTATGTACCGAAGTGGCACATTTACACAACCTGTTGTTTTGGCAGATGCTAACAAGAAAAGTTTTAATTCTGACACAGAAGGTGTTTCTCCAGCACAGTGACTAGACATGGGCCGGTGTAAGATTCTGACGGTATGATAACCATGGTTTAAAACATTGCGGTTTCATGTATTGTGATCACTCCTCTTAAATGTGTTCTTTTTAAATGTCTGAGTAAAAACAGCTTTATTTCCCCTTTAATCACAACACAGTTGAACGCAAAAGAAGATATTTTGAAGAATGTTAGAAACCTGTAACCAATGACTTCTATAGTATTAGTTTTTCCTACTATAGAAGTAAACATTTATAGAAGAAAACAAAGAAACTCGAATGTGTTTGTGACAAGTGAAGGTTGAGAAAAAAACTGAACTTTCATTTTTGTGTGAAGGATCCCTTCAAAAGGACGGTTGATTAAAAAAAAAAACTGAGGAAGTCAATTAAAAAAATAATTCACCCAAAAATGTTAATATATTAACCTCAAGTGGCTAATTTATTTTTTTTTTACAAAAAAACAAACCGGAATGTGTTTGTGACAAGTGAAGTTTGAGTAAAAACTGACAGAACTTTAATTTTTGGGTGAAAGATCCCTTCAAAAGGACAGTTGATTTAAAAAAAAACTGAGAATGGTTACATGTTTTAATATTTTTTTCAAAATAACTTATTTTCTGTTCAAATGAGACAGAATTTTCGTTTGTGTGTGAACTATCCCTTTAAGATGTGTTTTTGTCAGTCCCACAATAAGTGGACAATGCCACGTTTGAGCTTATTGAGCATTTGACCTTTTGACCTCTTTCCAGAGGTAGTCGAAAACACATTCAACTGGTTTGCTTTCATAATCGCTCATGTGGCTGAATGGGTTCGAGCTGCCACTGCCGACTGACCTCATTCTTAAACATTATGGGATGTGGATGTGTTTGAAATGCTTTAGCTAGACAGGATTTAAACTTTGCTGTCTGAAATCGTAAGATTGATTTGAAGCTGAAGAAATGTAGAAAGAGCAATGTTCTAGCAGTCCTTATTCTAATAGAAACCCACAGTGCTGGTTTGCTGCAGAAATGAAAGCAGTGGCTCTTCATATCTTTTCCTGTCAGCTCTTTTTTCCTTCATATGTAAATTTTGTGGGTTTATTTCACAGTATTAGATTGAAATAGCACAAAATGCATGTATCTGGACATCCCAAATTAAGTTACGGAAGTAGTTGAATATGGACGACATAGTTGTAAGTGAGAAGTCACTCAAAAATGAAAAATTGCTCCCCCTCAAGTGCTTTCAAACCTTTATGAATTTCTTTATTTGTTGAACACAGGAGAAGATATTTTAAAGAAAGCTGGAAACCTGTAACCATTGACTTTTATAGTAGGAAAAACAAATACAATACTATTGAAATCAATGGTTACAGGTTTCCAGCAGTCTTCAAAATGTCATCTTTTGTGTTCGACAGAAGAAACTCAAAGTTTTAAAACCAGTAAAGGGTGCGTACATGACCAATAGGGCTGTGCGATTAATCGAAATCGAATTGCGATTTAAAACGTTGTGATTAGCTAATTGCAAGAAGCTGCGGTATGAAATGAATATATGTATTATTTTAATTCCCCCACCCAGAGCAAATGCGTGACTTCTGGCTGTGTGTGACAGTCTTACTAGCCAATTGAGTAGCACACTTTCATTCTGCCCAATCAGAATCATGCAACTATGCCCACTATAAAAACAAACAAACAAACAGAAAAGTGAAGACGAGTGGGATGATGGCACCTACTGCTTCATAAGCATTAACAGATTAATTAATATTAAAAAACAGCATGTCGGTAATATGGGAATACTTTGGTTTCACAGACACCAAACAAAAAGGTAATTTGTAAGAGCTGTCGCAGAATTGTTGCCAGCACCAGGAAATACAACAACCAGCACTTAAAAAAGCACCACAGGTGGCTATATGAGGAGCGTCTTGCTAAAAAGTCAACGAAAGTTTTGCCAGAGACACTTAATCTAGTAGCAAGCAACAGCAATGTACAATTTGTAGTTGTGTGAGGCTGTTATACCATATGAAAACACATCACAAAGGCACCAGGAGATAATTAACGCCATAACTCACAACCTTGCTAAAGACATGGTGCCTTTTAATACAGCGACCAAAGAGGGACTGAAAACCCCCTTCAGGAGTTATACACTTCCATCTCACACATATTTTAGCCATTTTGCAGTGCTACAGCTGTGCGTTGAATGTTGTGATATTTTGTGTAGCATCTGTGATAGTTATTTTGTTTTTAGACAATACAAGCTACAGAAAAGCTCTTATCAGCCATGTTTGTTTGCTGAGTGTTCTGTATTTTTATAGTTCTTACTTTTTTGTTACTATATTAGAGTTGAACTTATGGTCACTTTATTTGTGCTTATTGTTTGCTCTAGAGAAAAAATATAATGTTTCATTTCTGAATATTTAAAAACAAGTTTATAAAATCTTTTCAGTTTCTTTTTTGTAACTAACACTCACTTCATTTTAGCAGTAAGAAACAGATACAGATTATTGAGCTGAAGCTTAATTACAAAATTAAATTGCAAATCAAATCCAAATCACAATGTCAAAAAAAAAGCGCAATTGGATGTTTTCCCCAAATCAAACAGCCCTAATAACTGATTATTTTTTTATTTTATTTTTTACTTATTTTATTTTGATGATGAACTCACTTTACTACCAATTGTTAACATGTTATAATAACAACTCATGATAGAATAATATTTACATGAGCAATATCACACGAGTAGCAGTGCGATATGACTTTATATCAGCAGTGGTGGAAGGCGTGCGTTGGTTTGAGGCCGCAGGTCGAGTTCCTTAGTGTCCCACCAGTGCTGTTATACAGACACATTGCTCTGCTACAAGTGTGATATTGCTTTCATAACACTTCGATGACATAATCGTCTGTGTAAAAAAGAAATTTAAACATGGAGAGTCTAAAAACCCCTTTTTTATGAGGAACTACTTTCTTCCATCACTCATTCACATATGCAGCTGACTGTCAGAACAGCAGAAACCCTTGCTACTCCACAAATGTCACATTAGAGCTAGTATTTGAATGATTCTCTAGCGTAATGTCTAAAGTGATGACAAAACAAGTAATTTTTGCTCCCATTTTAAGATTATAGGGCTGAACAGCATGAAAAGCCATCAATCTACAGAGATTTTCCTGTATTTGTTTCGCAGTCAGGATTTCATACGAAAAAGCCAAGTCAAAGCAAATTTCTACCAGATTACTACGGTACAAACACAGCACTACAACATCCAAAGGAGAGAGAGATCAACTTAGAATGACACTGACCTGTTTTATAATGATTTATTCAGCTGTAGTTTGAAATTTAAGTTGAGAAATAGCTGAATTTTTCTCTTTTGAGGGATTATTATGCGGTCTCTGTCGCTATCTTGTGGGGAAATATTAACCATCATGTTCTTTGGTCTGCTCAAACAGGCTGATGGCAGCCGATGCTCTGTCTCTCCAAAATTATAAATATTTAAAATAGGCACTGTCTGCATGGTTGCAATCTAAACAATGACATTCTCGACTAAAAAGCCTCAGTACATTATGTTGTCCAACAGCTGTTATATTTGTCAAGCTGTAGAGTGTCCTCTGCTTGTATCCGTATGTGGACGGAATAATACACAAGGGTGAAGAGGCTGTACGAGTGCTGTTTTTTTGCAGTATATCGTACAGCTGTTAGCCAATCAGATTCAAGAACCAGACAGAACTGTTGTATAAATTTAAATATTTGATCTATGCAGTCTCGAAACATTTAAAAATATAAAGCAGCTATATTCATTGCAGTCTTTTAATATGTATGTCGTCTTCTAGTCATCATTATTAAATGCTCAACTCTGTGTTTATGACTGTGTCTCCTCTTCCCTCGTCTGCTAGTGATGGAGTCAGCTGTCAGTACATCCACTCAAGTGCCAGATGAGTTCGACCGGAACGTTCCACGCATCTGTGGTGTGTGTGGAGACAAAGCTACTGGTTTTCACTTTAATGCCATGACCTGTGAGGGCTGCAAAGGCTTCTTCAGGTAAACGTGCACACTTTTTCTTGTGCAATCTGGAATTCACACATTTGCACCAATGCTCATTAAGAAACACATTAACACATATAAGGTGTTAGCAGTGTGTGATACTGCCACTCTATTAATAGTGTATGTGTGTGTGTGTGTGTGTGTGTGTGTGTGTGTGTGTTCATTAGGCGCAGTATGAAGCGGAAGGCCAGTTTTACCTGTCCTTTTAATGGAAGCTGCACCATCACTAAAGATAACCGTCGCCACTGCCAGGCCTGCAGACTCAAGCGTTGCCTAGATATTGGCATGATGAAAGAGTGTGAGTTACTTGCCAACATGACACATCTTGGAACACTGAACACAGGGAGCCAAGATATTCTTTGTTATTTTACGCTATAATTATAGTATAGATTTGAGTTAACCTGGAGTCTCAGTGGGTCATTTTTAATGGTCTTAAAGGGATAGTTCACCCCAAAAAAAGAATCATTTAATAATAAATAATGAATCATGTTCCAGACTTGGTGGACTTACTTTCTTCTGTTGAATTTGAAGAAAGCTGGGAAATGTAATCATTGAAATCTATAGTAGTAGTTTGTACTATTATGGAAGTCAATGGTTACAGGTTTTCAGCTTCCTTGAAAATATATATTTTTAGCATTCAACAGAAGAAAGAAACCTATAATGGTTTGGAACCCCTTGAGGGTGAGATTACATATTCATTTTTGTGTGAAGGATCCCTTTATCCTCCTTTATGATCTCCTCCTTGTTGAACCCTACAAAGATATTTTGAAGAATGTTAGAAACTTGTAACCATTGACTTCCATAGTAGGAAAATCTTATACTATGGAAGTCAATGGTTACAGGTTTTCAACATATTTAAAAATATCTTTGTTTTGTGTTAAGTAGAAAAAGGGAAACTGGAATGTGTTTGTGACAAGTGAAGGTTGAGTAAAAAGTGATAGAATTTTCGTTTTTGGGTTAACTATCCCTTCATAAGGGGAGTTGATTTAAAACATTGTGAGGGATTAAATAAATTAAACAAATCACCCCAAAATTGTAATATACTTAATCTCAAGTGGTTTCATGCCTTTATAAGTTTCCTCTTTGTTGAACACTAAAGAAGATATTTTTAAGAATGTTAGAAACCTGTAACCATTGACTTCTATAGTACAAATTTTTTCTCCTATGGAAGTCAATGGTTACAGGTTTTCAACATTTTTCAAAATATCTTTTTTCGTGTTAAGCAGAAAGAGGAAACTTGAATGTGTTTGTGACAAGTGAAGGATGAGTAAAAACAGAATTTTAATTTTAAGGGGAGCTATCACTTTAGCAGGAGAGTTGATTTAAAAAAAACATAGAGGGAGTAAATAAACAAAAATTGTTCAACCAAAAATGTTAGTTTATGCTCAGCCCCAAGTGACTCGTCTTTCTGTTGAATGCAAAAGAAGATATTTTGAAGAATGTTAGAAACCGGTAACCATTGTCTTCCATAGTAAGATAAACAAATACTATGGAAGTCAAGGGTTACAGGTTTTCAACAGTTTTCAAAATAACTTATTTGTGTTATACAAAACAAGAAACTGGAATTTGTTTTTGACAAGTGAAGGTTGAGTAAGAATGACAGAACTTTAATTTTTGGCTGAACAATCTCTTCAAAAGGAGAGTTGATAAAAAATAAATGAGAGGGAGTAAATAAAAAAATTGTTCACACCAAAAATGTTAATATGCTCACCCTCAAATGGTTTCCTACCTTTATGAGTTTCCTCTTTCTGTTAAACACAAAATAAGGTATTTTGAAGAATGTTAGAAATCTTTAACCATTGTCTTGTATAATAGGAAAAATGAATACTATGTCAAATTACTTTTTTCGTGTTAAGCAGAAAGAGGAAACTGGAATGTGTTTGACAAATGATAGAATTGAGTAAAGGTTGTGTAAAAAAAATCAGAACTTTCATTTTGGCTGAACTATCCTTTCTAAAGGAGAGTTGATTAAAAAAAATGGAGAGGGAGTAAATAAAAAAATAATTCACGAAAAGATTTTAATATGCTCACCCTTAAGTGGATTCATACCATCATGAGTTTCCTCTTTGTTGAACACAAAAGAAGATATTCTGAAGAATGTTAGAAACCTGTAACCATTGACTTCCATAGTGAGATAAACAAATACTATGGAAGTCAATGATTACAGGTTTTCATTGTGTTCCAAAATAACTTATTTTCTGTTCAACAACAAAAAGAAGCTGATTTGTTTGTGACGAGTGTAGGTTTTGTACAAATCTACACTTTTCAGTTTTAGGTGAGCTACACCTTTAATGGCAAATTATGGATCTGGTGTTTGTAAGTCTCTTCCAAACAAAAGGGAGTAATGTGATCCTTTCACTAAAGTTAAATAAAGGCTATTAGCAAAGTGATACTTTGTATAAGGAAGTAGTTGTGGTATTTGTGAGCAAACAATCCTACGTGGCGTTTTGTTTGCTAGTCATTTTGAAAGTGAAAGGTACTTCAATTGTGCGCTTCTAAACAGTCACTTCCCAGCAAGCATTTTTGTGTTTAATAAATGTCTAAACATAGACGTCTTGGTTAAACCAAGGCTAAATTTGGGCCGTCAGTGAAAATCTAATAGACTTTTAACAATATGCCAAAAATAACCCAGTCATCAATTAGACAGGAATGAATGACTGCACATGTGATAATCTATTTTTGGATTATTGTTCAACGTCTATTAAATTTTCTATGTTAAACACAAATTAGCTTGGTGGCTTGTTTTGAAGAGATTTCAGTACAAAGTATTGTTTGTATGTTGTCAATTTTAAAAACAATCATCACTCGCAGAGAGATAAGATAAAATTAATAAAAGTTATATGGAGGCAATATTTGATACCAATGTTTTATTTACCCCATCAATCGTAATATAACAGCTATAAACTTTAATGTTGGAACTATGTGCTTAAGGTCGCAGTGTGATTAAAAATAAACTGCTGCTAGTGTTTGTTCTTCTCATTTAGGACATGTTTTCAAATTGAGAGATGCTGATTCATTTAGAGAGATTAAAAAATTACTAACAATAGTTTGTTATTCCAGTAAGTTTAGTTATTATAGTATATATACAGTTGAAGTCAGAATTATTAGCCCCCTTTTGATATTTTTTTTCTTTTTTAAATATTTCCCAAATGATGTTTGACAGAGCAAGGAAATTTTCACAGTATGTCTGATAATATCTTTTCTTCTAGAAAAAGTCTTATTTGTTTTATTTAGGCATGAATAAAAGCAGTTTTGAATTTTTTTAAAAACAATTTTTGGGACAAAATTATTAGCCCCTTTAAGCTATTTTTTTTTGACAGTCTACAGAACAAACCATTGTTATAGAATAACTTGCCTAATTACCCTAACCTGCCTAGTTCACCCTATTAACATAGGTAAGCCTTTAAATGTCACTTTAAGCTGTATAGAAGTGTCTTGAAAAATATTATTAGAAATAGGTTTTTAAAACTATTATGCTTAGAAATGTGCTGAAACAATCTTCCGTCCATTTAACAGAAATTGGGGAAAAAAATAAACAGGGGCGCTAATAATTCAGGGGGGCTTATAATTCTGACTTCAACTGTATATATGTATTTATTGTTTATTTTTATTTATTTATTTTATTTATTATTTTGTTTTTTATTTGTTATTTTTTTATAATCTATAATTTATTTTTATTTATTTATTAATTTATCCTTATTAATTAAAAAATATTTATTCATTTTTATTACTTATGTATTTTATTAATTTTATTAATTTTATTTAACAATTTTTACTTTTAATTTTTTCATTTATGATTTATTTTTATTTATTCATTTATACATTTTATTTATTATATATTTTTATAATTTTATTATTTGTATTTGTTTATCCATTCATACTATTTATAAATTTTTATATATTTAAATTTTTATTTATTAATTTTTATTATTTATTTTAATTTATTTATTCATTTTATTTAAACTTTTTTATTTATGATTTATTTTAATTTATTTATTAATTTTAGTTATTATTATTTTTTATTTAATTATGTATTATTTATTAGTTTTTATTTAATTTATTATAAAAATGTTTTATGTACTTTTTTATTATTTGTACTTATTTTTTATTTTTTATATTTTTCATTTATTTATTTTTATATCTATCTATCTATCTATCTATCTATCTATCTATCTATCTATCTATCTATCTATCTATCTATCTATCTATCTATCTATCTATCTATCTATCTATCTATCTATCTATCTATCTATCTATCTATCTATCTATCTATCTATCTATCTATCTATCTATCTATCTATCATCTTCAAGTAAATCAGTCACTATTTGCTACTATCTAAATCATGATTAAATATGTTTTAACTTGTGAACACGGAAATGTACAGTTTTTTTGTATCTCAGTCTATATTTTGCTGTATTCAGTTAGCTACAAAAGGATATTAATTATACTCGTTTGTGTTTTTTCTTCAGTTATATTGACAGATGAGGAAGTTCAGAGAAAGAAGGAGCTGATTCAAAGAAGGAAGGATGAGGAGGCTCACAGGGAGGCGCAGAAGCCCCGGCTTTCAGATGAGCAGCGCAACATCATTGACACACTGGTGGACGCGCATCATAAAACATACGACGATTCCTACTCTGACTTTTCACGCTTCAGAGTAAATAGTCTTATTTTCCTTTTCTGAGTAGCATCCTCTCGCTTTTAGGCACTTTTAAGATCAGATTTTATAGTGGCCATAGTGAGTTTTGGGGCAATTAAGTTTTCATTAGATGCAAATTATCAAATTGAGTGGCATTTGCAAACAAATCATTCTTAGAATGACCTTTTCTCTGCCGGTAAATTTCTTTCTTGGTTTGTTTTAAAATAAAAATAAAAAACTTCTTGCAGATCTATGAGGAACTTATTATTAACATTGTGCACTGACAATCAGTAAGTGTCTAGATACACTTTGCCTCAGTTTACAATTTTTATAATTTAACAAAACCAAACCATTTCTTTTTTTTTCCTGACCAGATGTGTGTGACAGGTCTGTGTGAACAGTCAAATTGGGGTGATGTAAACACAATAAGTCTCTTTTTTTTTACTTCCTAATGTTAAAATAGGATCCAAATCTCTCCTATTTTGATGCCCACCACAACATGAAGTAGGAGTGCGGTTTTCCCCGCCCACCAAATTGATTGACAGTATGAACATGTTTCCATAGTAACATGTGCAATCATATCAACATGACAGAACTTGCGCAAAACAACCAGGATTAAAAGATCTGTTTGGCTTGCTGTGATCATCAATCATGTGATCAGCGCGTTCTGTGTGTGTGTGGGTGCGTGAACTTTGTAACGACATTGTATGTGACTCATCGTTGCAACTCCACAACAAATACATCAAATAATCATTGGGACAGTTCTTACTGTAGTATTTCTCACAAAAGTTACATGAGATCTGCTTCCTTCATGTCTGTCACTGTGCTGTTTATCTGACACCGCCAAGGTGGAGATTGAGGCACACTCTGACAGACACGTAGAACTAGCATTAAAGGCACAGGCAACAAAAACAGCTACATTGTATTCAGAGCAGAAAATCTAATATTCTGAAAGGTATAATAAATAAACTGATTGGTGTCTTGAGCTGAAGCTTTACATACAATTTCTGGAGACACAAAAGACTTATCTTAAATCTTGAAAAAGGGGTAAGAAAAGGTGGTAAAGATGGTGTGCCGCCTTTATTAATGATGGCGTTCGCCACTTTACGAACGGATTGGGAAAAACTGCATGTAAAAATGTGTTCTATGTCTTCATCGTGTCGATGCACGATGCCAACAGTCGGTCAGCGAGTAAAAAAATACAATGGATAAAATACATAGGCCTGTGCGTATAGACATATAATGTACTGCTATACAGTAACGAATCATCTGTTTGTTTCGTTTGTCTTCATTTTAATTGTTACGTGATGATGCGATTGTGTGCTTTATCTGCATGCATGATTCCCACTGAACTGGGCGGGGTTGTGTGACGTTTGATTCGGGGATGTTCTGGGGGTGGGGTTTGCGTGACGCGATGTGAGCTACTAGCCCGTCAGTGGAAACGCGACATGATTTTGGCCTCACTGCTCCCGGGCTATTGGCCCGGCCCGATAAAAGCCCTGGCTTGTACTGGCCCGACAGTGGAAATGCAGCTTTTTGCCCACCTTGTACTTGTTCCAAACCTATTTAAGTTTCTGTTGAACACAAAAGTAAATGTTTAGAAAAAAGTTGAAAACCTGTAACCACTTCCATAGTCAGGGTATCTGCGGGGTCTTAAATGTCTTACATCTCAAAAGCCAAATTTTAGGCCTTAAAATCTTAAATCTACTGAAATGTTGTGTTGTAGGTCTCTTTTTAAAAGGTCTTAATTTTCCTTTGTTAATGAATCGCTACCCAATCTGGTCATTAACACCCATACAATTACCAACAACCCCAATCTCAATAAAACTTTAAACTTTTTATTTAAAAATAGTGTTTAATTATTTCCTTACAGAAACATTAACAAATTCTCAATTTATTTACTGCTGAGGACACTCACAGGACCTATTTTTTATTATTAAATTATTTTTATTGTAGACTGAAGTAATTGACAGCTATGTTTTGTTCTTGTTTTGGTAAGAGTTACAGGGTTTGTGAACAGATATTTTTGAAAATTGATTAAAAAAATTCTAACTAAATTATTATTATTGTATTAATAAATGTATTCATTTGTAATAGTTTTGTATAGGGCAAGTAAAAATCTTTTCTAACTGGGATATTTGAAAAAAAATCCTTAGCATTTAGCCCTGCATAAGTCTAAAATTAAGTCATAATGGTCTTGAAAATGTCTTAAAATTAACTTGGTGAAACCTGCAGAAACTTCTAGTATGTTTTTTCTAATAGTTATGAGTTTTTCAGCTTTCTTCAGAATATCCTCTTTTGTGTGAACAAAAAAGAAAGAAAACTGTTTAAAATCATTTGAGGGTGAGTACATAGGGATTTTGGGTAAATTTTCTCTTAAGTAAAATCCTAAAAGCAAGCGTCATCTTCCTAAAACAATCCAACAACCAAACAATAGTGAGTGAGTTGCATCTTAGACCCAATACAGTGTGTTTCTTTGTTTTTACACAAAGCTCAGCATCTCAGAGCAACACTGCAGTCTCCTTCCCTGATCAATGATCCATTCATGAAGAAAGCTGCTTGCTTGTTTTCTAAATGAACCAGTGTTTTGAACGAATCATTTAAACGATTCAATGAATGAATGATCTGTGAATTGCTCATTAGGACAGCGACTTTCTGCCACCTATTGGCCATTTTAGGTATTATATGTATTGATCCATGACCAGGCATAAAATGCACCAAATATACACATTCAGCAAAACAAAGTTTTATTACAGATTAATAATATACATATAAATAATAATATAAAATCCCAATCAATTTTTAGATCTGTTTATTTTTCTCTCACCATCTATGTTTTCTATCAGACATCCAATTATCTTCCATGTGTTCATATGCTTGTGTGTGTGTTTTGTGTTCCAGCCTCCAGTCAGAGAGGGTCCAGTTACACGCAGTGCCAGTCGAGCCGCGTCCCTCCATTCACTGTCAGATGCCTCATCAGACTCCTTCAGCCACTCTCCAGGTGACACACACACAAACGCACACACACTCATTCATGCGAAATGAATCACCTGTAAAGTTTATTCTGAGAAATGTTTTTCAGCCCCAGTGCGAGGCGCAGGCAGGCATCTGTGTTTGTGTGTTAGGAGCTTGTGTGTTTTATGTGCACAGCAGGCTCTGTCCATCTCACCATGCCTGACGTCACAGGAGAGCCACACTAATGACAAACAGACCATTCACATGCATACACATACGCACACACACATATATATAGCTCGTCCTGGAAGCGACAAGTTGTTTGTTTGTGTAAGCTTAAATACGACATTAATTATATTCGTTCTACATGGAGAGAGTATATTTAAAGCATTATTCTGGATTTTATAAACATGCCACTGTATTTTCTGCAATGTACGTCACTTTTTTTGTAATCTGGAATGAGCTGCGACTTCTATTTGGAAGTGACTTATATAATCCAGTTACCGTCACACAGCCACATATATTTGGATTCAAGCAGAGGCATGCGAGTTGTTGTATAACGCAGCGGGTGATTTCAGTTTTACTTTAATTTGTTGAGATGTGACGCTTATTAATAAATGTTGTATATAGTAAATGACACTCTTATTTGTTTGCTTATAGATGTTAGGGATGCAACATGGGATGATTATTGATTTTGGTTGTGCAATTATAGTCTAAAAATAATCATGGTTATCACGATTATTATGCAAGAATTAATTTTGAAAAACTACAAGTTTAGAAAATGAAACAAAATATTTCTTACATTTTAAAGGGTTATTTATTGCTGTTATTGCCAATTAATACTGCCCAAAATAATAATAAAAAGCAAACAACAGTCCATTTCTATTTAGACTTAAAAATGTGTAAAAAAAGTATTTTACACAAAAAAATATAATAATAAAAATAAATTACAGAACAACAAAAAAATGCGCGCACGCACACACACACACACACACACACACACACACAGATATATGAATATATGAAGAGTTCGGATGCAAAACCCTCTAAATCCATCAGACCTCTTCTTTTGTAATTGAGCATTTTCTATCAGGCTCCTCTGATTATGTTTAGAAGTGTCATTTTATATATAATGAAAATTAGCTGCTAAATAAAATAATTTTTTTTGTAAATGTCACTTTAGACAATACTTTGTTTTTTAACAAGGGATATTTTTTTTTGCGTCAAAACCAGCTAAATCCACTTCTGCTTTTTTTGTCTTTTTTTTTTTTTTGCAAAAATGTCTAAATCCACTTATCGGGTCAAGACATTGTAATTGGTTGAAAAATCACTAAAGATGCAGAAATTATTTTACCAAGCATAAAACATGTTACACAAACCACCTGAAATTGAAAATACGTAAATCTTTCAAGTAAGTGGCAGTTCATTCCACTGTGGTAACCCCTGATAAAGCAGGGACTATAAGGAAAATGAATAAATGAAATCTGTCAAGTGCAATAATCACTAAAATTAAAACTGACAATAAAATAAAATAAAAATTTTAACAATCTGTTGTTATTACTGATGTGGGATGTTGATTTATTGTAAGTAGAACAATGTAAACATTGTAAACTAAGCTTGGAAGATTCAAATAATGTAGTGTAAAAACATTGTGAAACATCTATATCTGTGCATTGTTCATTAATAAAAAAGTATTAGAATTTGTTGAAGTAATATAAATAATGTATAGTCGTATACAATATATTTATCTTTTTTTTCAGTAGCTTAAATTAGCAAATAAATCACAAGGTAGGCCTACTGGGCAAAAAGGGATGTCTCTTAGACACTTTTAGAAGCTGTCATTCATTCCTTCTCACCATACTCAAGGTCTTGGTGTCTTTTTCGTCTCTTATTTATAGCATCCATGTGGGATAAAAGAATGGCATCCTAACCTCATCTTTTGTGAAACGGAGTTGCCATTTAATGTACAGTAAATCAGACTCATTTCATTGTTCATTCAAAACGAATGAATGCATGCTACACTTCCAACTGTACAGTGTGTTTTTTTCGTTATGGGTAAGGGACATTTTCATTTGCCATTCACTGACAGTTGGACAGACTCATTCAGTTCATTAAACTTCGTCTTTTAAAATTGGAAGCAGATTAAAACACTCTCCTCAAAAAGCCAGCGTATCAGCACTCCGTTACATTGAAAACATGATTCAATTCACGGCTTTTGATTGGTTCTCGGGATATAGCGGCTTTTGCTGTCAAAGGCAAGTGGCATTTAGAGGCTTTTGCAAACAAACTTATTCCTGAATGGGCAAAAATATGTGTGGACATGTACACTACGTGCCTTAAGCACTCACTCAATGTCATTATCTAATTTTTGGCAGAAGGGGTGTTTATCGGCTTTTGCATCTGAACTCTTCATATAATATAAAAACTAGTATTTGTCTAATGTAAATCTAAGGATTTCCCTTTTAAAGAAAACATGCATAGCAAACAAACATTTAAAGAAAACAAACATAGCATGCCTAAGGAAAAAGGAACTTGCATGTGCAAAATATCCAATATGTAAATGGATCTTAGTTAATAGCCTTAGCCATAGTTAATCCAGTGTGCGAGCATATTAGCCTCAGTGTACAATCTCGGAACTATAAACTAGCGTAACTTTGTTAGTTGCAGCAGTTTTGTTCCATACTGAGACTAAGTCTGGAGAAGCTTTTAATTAATTAATCGTAACAAATTAAAGTACGGTTAATAGTGAAATCAGTTAATGGTTGCATCACTAAAAGATATATTCATATTTCTTATGTCTTGTTCAGTTTAATGTAATCATTGCTAGACAATTTAGTCACCAATAGTCTATTTTAGGTTATTTCTCTACACCAGTGCAATTTTTTCCCCCTCTAAATTGGAAATGATGCAGTGTAAATTATCACCAGAAAATTTGATGAATAACCTACTGGTGAGCTTCCTTTTTATATATAATTTCTGATTAATTTTCTGACTGATGCTTATTTAAGGTAATGGTGAAAACGGAATAATACATTATTAAACGATGACTGCTGGTTTCATGAAAATGTGCCATTTGTTTCTCTTTGTAAATAAGAGATTTCTTCAGATGTGTTGACAGTCTTGTTTATTGTAATGAAGGCATTCGTGATGGTCAGGGGGTTTGTGTGAAGCTGCGGCTCAAGCAGTTTCAACTACCTGTGTAAACATGCAGGAAAGGCAACACTTCTTTAATGCAAGCTGCATATGATATATTAATAAAAGATTTAATTAAAAATCGCAATTCCAATATCAAATGATATAATCCACAGGTGTGATTATTGTGCAGACAATGTACATAATGCATTTTAATGGCAGCAAATGAAATATACACCTTTTCAGTAGATTTTTTTAATAATTTAATTTAATATATATATATATATATATATATATATATTTTTTTTTTTTTTAAGCCAACATCCTGCAGCACAATTCATGCGAATGAGGCGCCGCATTAGCCAATCAGAAGCTTGCTCTTGTAGGAGCGTGATTATTAAGTAGTGCCAGTTGTTGATGTCCCAAGGGGAATTCCTCTTGCCCACACTACACAACAGCTCATCAAACCGGGCTCAGTTCAGTCGGAAGCACCGCTTAAAGCCTCCATCATTCTGGTATAGTTTCTGCAGAAGTTGATAAACTCACAGTGCTGAGTGCACCTCTGAAAGGATCTAGTGCACTCAGACACCACACTAAACGAATCTACATTTATGTGCTTTAGGAAGGCTGAAAAACGGTTACTATCTCAATAAAATCCATGTTAGTCGTTTAGCTACTGAACTAGGGTGAGCGGGCAGACAGAAGCCCTCCCCATGATGCAAATCTGCGTCTGTTGTGAAGTGAATTTGATGCACGAATGAAACAAGTTAACTCAAAATGTTTTCTTGTCTATTTACGTGCGATTAGTGCGATTTATTCACAAGTGCTGTGTCTGGTGTGAACACGGCATCAAAGTTTCTCTCTATAGTGGTTCAATTCTGCAGTGTCTCCACAAATCTCGTGTTTTTGACCTGTGGATTCTGGTCATCTCTATTCATAACTCAACATTGCATCTCTTACGATGTGACTATTGCGGACACACACATTGCGAAGTGGATGATTGAACAATGTATTGTGCAGCCATATATATATATACTTGATTTGCCACTTGATTTCTGAGTTACTCTAGATTTGATTTGATTTTTAATTTTATTCTGTAAACTAAAGATATTTCTTCACAATTTAAAAAACATATTCTTGTTGAATCCCCCATTTTAAATGTTATCAGACAACAATTTTTATCTGGAGAGACTTTAAATAAAATATTTTTAAATCTAAAATTGTGCAATTATTATCAAAAGGAAACCTTAAAAACTGTTTTTGATTTTTATCTTATTATTATAATTATTATTTATGTATTTTACCTTGTATATTATTTATTGCTGTTGATGACTTTTAATTGTTAGAATGTTTTTATAATTTTAGAAAATCTGTAATTGTAAAATGTAGTAAACTTGATAGTTTTTTTTGCCATGACATAGCCATAAAAGCTGAAATGGCAATAAAATTATAACTCTCTCTCACAATTTTTAAATAATATATAATCTAGAGATATTTACATGCAATAACTAAAAAGACAAAACAACACCAATGTTTTAACTTCAAAGCAGTCAAGAAAGTTTTGTATGGTGGAATAAATCTGATTTACAAACACAACTATTTAAAACATTTAATGATGCATGCTTTTGGAAAATATTACCTTTTTTAACCCCAAATGTAAATGTTTACAAGACTATTACCTGATTTGATTTCCTCATGAACTTTAAAAATAGTTTTAACCTTATCGACTGACACTCTCTGCACACTTCTCTGATTTAAAACAAGATGCGTATGACTTATTAACAACAAAACCTAATTAAAATGGTTTAAATATGATGAATACACATATTAAAAATGGTTTCGAGTGATATACTCCAGAAGTATTGTGCAGACAAACTTCATAATGCATATTAATGACAGCAAATGAAATCTATACTTTTCTTCATTCTATTTACCTAATAATTGAATATAATAAATCCACTATTCTTCTGTATTATGTTAGTCTGTTGTCAGATGTTGGAAGGGACACAAGAGGGAGATAACACTTGCGTTAATCTGCAAACAGGACACAGTTATCAGCCCAGTATCTCGATATAGTCAGCCTGATGATTTTGTTCTTTGCCAGTGACTCTGCTCCCCCCCACCCCCTTGGCCTTCCAACGTTTCTGTCAGTCAGCACAAAATGTTTATTCTATTTATTTCATTTCAGTACAGTCATAGAGATATCACATTTCTGGTGATTTGTTGGCATCTGTTTGGAGTGTAAATCCTTTAGTCAACATTCAGAAAGCATTCAGACAAAAACAACACTACTACTCAGTAAAGTACAATTCTTGAGGAAAAAAATACTTGGTGGGAGTAATTTGAATATTTGTAATTAGTTACTACTTGACACAACATGAATTGTTGGTAATGTGTCTGTTTGTGTCTGTCTTTGCATACGTAGAGTCAGGCGATCGTAAGATGAATCTGAGTAACCTGCTGATGATGTACCAGGAGCAGGGCTTGAGCTCCAGTCCCGACTCAAAGGAGGAGGATGGCTCCAGTCTCTCCATGCTTCCTCATCTGGCCGACCTGGTTTCTTACAGCATTCAAAAAGTCATTGGCTTTGCCAAGATGATTCCTGGATTTAGGTAAAGTTTTGATTGCGTTATTGAGTGTGTCAGGGCAGTATTTTAGAAACTAAGACTTGGTTTCTTTTTGAGAAAATCAAGAGCTCGTTTTAATTGGAATTGAAGAAGAAGAGGGGCTTTATTTACTAAATTGCGATTTGAAGAGGCTAAACAGGTTCAATAAACACATATTTACATTAAGTGAAGTTTAATTTTAAACTAATTTCGAGAGGAGCATGTGCTCATGATTGACCCAGCTGGTCCACATTAGCTAATTATGATCCTCCAATCAAAGGATCCCAAATCACTATAAATATCCTCATTTCCTTTCTACAACTTATCATCGTCTGGAAGAAACCCCCCTCCTCCCCTTCTTCCTCCTTGATCCAGAATGGGCGGCACGGTGGCCCAGTGACTAGCACTGTTGCCTCACAGCAAGAATACCAATGGTGTAGGGTCCTCGCTGAGCCATCTATTATTTCTGTATGGAGTTTGCATGTTCTCCCCGTGTCCGCGTGGGTTTCCCCCGGGTTCCCCAGTTTCCTCCCACCATCCAAATGTGCGCTACATTATAGATAAAATAAGCCAAAACCTTTTTTTTTTATAATGTCTTACCCTCAGGACGTTCGCCTTGGCCTCAGCAGCGGGGGAGTTTGAGATAGACCTGAGCTCATTCTCCACTCGCCCTGCAAAAGGGGGGGAGCCCTGGGCTCTAGGATCCCTTGAGCTCAGGGCTCTCTCCCGGGACAGCATGCCAAACAAGCTATGTATAAATCATGAGCTAAGTGTGAACTCTTGAAATTATTATTTTATTTTAGCTATGCCTGTCTCGATTAGGCATTGCTTAGTTTAAGATAATCAGAGTTTAGTTTTACCGTACAACACTAGAAACCATGTTTTCCAAAAACATGACAAAATATTAAAGGTCTCGTGAAGGGCTTTGAAATATGCATTTTTATTTGATGGTTTATGCAGTCTCAACTGAAACATGAAAAAGGGTGGAACATAGTATAGCTGTCTTACATTTTTATATCAGTTTTAGATCTTCTAAACCTGGATTTTGTCACTGTTTTGGCTCACACTAGCTTATTGATATCCTAACACTAACAATACTGATACTAATATCTTAACTTTATTTGAATTTCATGGGACACTTAAGGATATAATTCCGACTATAAAAAGTAAATTAGAGCAGTGGTTCAAAACAGTTACTTCATTAAAAACATTTTGTGATGAACAAAAAATGATTCATTTTACCTTGATATTCAGAAGGCACTGAGTCATATGTTATTCAGTGTAACAGTAGATTATCCGCTTGTTAAATTGTGACGTATGGTATACTGTTTCCGGGTCCAAGCAGCTACTCATTTGAATTGAGAAAATATTCATTTATGACCACTTTTTAGTCATATCACATATTGAAGTTAATTTAATATAAAATCGCTCATTCATTCATTTTCTTTTCGGCTTATTCCCTCCATTAATCTGGGGTTGCCACACTGGAATGAACCGCCAACCTATCCTGCATATGTTTTGTGCAGCGAATGCCCTTCCAGCTGCAACCCATCTCTGGGAAACATCCATACACACTCATTCACTATGGACAATTTAGCCAACCCAATTCACCTGTACCGCAAGTCTTTGGACTGTGGGGAAAACTGGAGCACCCAGAGGAAACCCACAGGGAGAACATGCAAACTCCACACAAATAAAAAACATAGTGTACACGACAGTCTGGGCTTGCTGCATAACAGACTCCAATTCTTTAACATTTTATAAAAAACAATCACTTTCTTGCCATCAGATATTAGGCATGGATGTATATGTATATTGTGATGGTGATTTTCGAAAGTATTACATCGCTTTGTAAACGTTTATTTGTACCATTTGTTGAGTCTCATACAGTATGATATAGCGCTTGAACCCGGAAGCCGCTTGGCGTGACATCACACTTAACAAGCGGATATGCAACATTTCTAAAATCAAAAATGTCATTGTTTGAGCAAATATTACTTGATGATATAATAATAGACTCTATATAAGGATGACAGAGCAGCACCAAAATAACAATAGTTTGTTTTTTGATGTTCAAACCACTAAGTTTTACTAATTTCTCAGCGAGATGTTTTTTTTTATCATTTTTTATATAATCAATTCTAATTCAATCAGTTATTCTTTTATGTATTTTACACTTATTTTGAGATGATGTCATTTTGACATTACAGTGGTCTCTCGCTATACTTTTCGCGGCCTCCCAGTTTCATGGATTTGTTTTGTGCAATTTGACATACTTTTTCATTATAGCGCATTGTGTTCTACACAGTAATTGATATAAATCTTCTATTGCTAGCAGTGTGACTCTTATGTGCTGTACTGTATGTTTGCAAGTTTTCTCTCAACAATGTCAACGAAACATTTAGTACTGTCAAAGGCACCTGCGATAGCACTTACAGGCAGAGGAATGTTGATCAAAATGTTGAAATTCTGTACATGCTTAAGGAAGGTAGAAGTTATGTGGCTGTAGGGCACCATTATGGGATAAATAAATGAAGATCAAATGGTTATGATCTTTAGTTTCATTCTATAATACTGGACTTATTTTTCTATGAAGGTTTAAAGTTTAAGAGTGTTTATACAAGAGAGAAAACTGTGAAAATGTCTGTTTGAGAAAAGTGTATAATGTGTGTCGTGGAGGGTTTTACAGCCTTTAAATATCTATAATAATTGTAAAAAAAATAAAGCTGATTTCCTATTGTGGGTTATTTTTAGAACATAACTTACACGAATAATGAGGAACCACTGTATTCAGCAAGCTATCATTTATTGATTTATCAACATTTATTGTTGAATAAAAATTGAACTGTCATTTTAAAGCTTTTTGCGCACAATAACAACAGGACAACACAATAAAAATGAATAATAAGATAAAAAGGTATAATAAAAATACAAACAAATGGTGGAATAACACTGAGTTTTCAAAGACACAAATGAAAAATTTGGAGATTGTTCTCCATTTAACCATGCTTGTTTTTAGGAAGTTTCATCTTTTTTCAACCCCAAAGGTAAACGTTAACAAGACTACCATCAGATTTGATTTCCTCAGGAACATAAAAATAGGTTTGACCTTCTAGACTGACACTCTCTGTACGATTCTCAGTGCTTTTCCATGTATTTCCCAGCATCCACTGAATGTGTGTACATACATATGCATTATGGAGCGCGTGTTGCTGTGGGAACCATAGGAGTGTCATGTTATCTGAACTGAAGACACCCACTCCTTCTACATCTGCCATTCACAGAGTCCAGCATGAGCCAAAACTGACGCCTGTGTGTGTGTGTGTGTGTGTGTTGCAGAGAGCTGACGGCTGAAGATCAGATTGCTCTGCTGAAGTCCAGCGCTATAGAAGTGATCATGCTCCGATCCAACCAGTCCTTCAGTCTGGAGGATATGAGCTGGAGCTGTGGAGGACCTGAGTTTAAATACTGCGTCAATGATGTTACCAAAGGTACACATAAACTCAAGCTCAGATGCAGTGTGGTATGTTGCCATGCAGTGGTTGCAGTGTTATTATAGATGAGCTTTATTTAAAATAACAGGAAATAATATGTTGGATTATAGGTCTCAAACTGGATTCCTGCACAGTTTTGCTCCAAACCTAATCAAACACAGCTGATTCAACTAATGAAGGTGTTTATGATTTTGTTTGAACACCTCAATTATTTGGATCAGCTGTGTTTGATAGGGTTGGAGCACAACTGTGCAGAGCTGCGGCCCTCCAGGAATTGAGTTTGAGACCTCTGTGTTAGACGAATCTTTGACTTAATAGAAGTGTTATTTAGGCGACTAACTGAAATGAAGTATTGAAATTACTGAAACCAAAACACAAATACACTGAAGCAAATTGTGAAGTCAAAGTAATAAAAACAAGTTCATAATAAAATGACCAAAGTTTTAACTGAAATTATAAATTAAAATCTAATTCAAAATATAACAAAAATATTAAATAAATGTGTTAAAACAGCACTGAACAGATATTATATTCTTTACTAGATGTATCTTGACTCAAACTATTTATTTGCCTTTTATTTTGTGTGAGGAGTTGGTCAGAAGGTGAATTGCAGGTTATACTTTTTAAACAATTATAGTGTCTCCAAAATCAAAGTAATGTAATGTAGCATAAAACGCATTAAATATTAAATATACGCATTAAAACAGCTTTTAAAAAAGCTTGATTTTTTTTTTTTTTTTTTTTTTAAAGAGCTCAAGCTCGCCCTCATTGGAGCCCAAGTGGCTCTGCAGCGAGCTGTGTCTCAGAAGATTCCCCTTCACACCATTACACCCCCACCAGCCTAAACCATTGATACAAGGCAGGATGGATCCACACTTTCATGTTGTTGAAAGCAAATTCTGAATGTCGCAACAGAAATGGAGACTCATCAGACCAGGCAACATTTTTCCCAATCTTCTATTGTCCAATTTTTGTGAGCCTGTTTGAACTGTAGCCTCAGTTTCATCGGCTTGGCTGACAGGAGTGGCAGGTGCTGTAGCCCATCCACCTCAAGGTTCGGCATGTTGTGCGTTCAGAGATGCTCTTCTGTATACCTCGGTTGTAACGAGTAGATATTTAAGTTACTGTTGCCTTTCTATTAGCTGGAACCAGTCTGGCCATTCTCCTCTGGCGTCAACATGATATTTGCGCTCACTGGATATTTTCTCTCTTTCTGACCATTCTCTGTAAACCCTAGAGATGGTTGTGCGTGAAAATCCCAGTAGATCAGCACTTTCTGAAATACTCAGACCAGCCTGTCTGGCACCAACAATCAAGCCACGTTCAAAGTCACTTAAATCACCTTTCTTCCTCATTCTGATGCTCAGTTTGAACAGCAGCAGATCATCTTGACCATGGCTGCGTCTGAAACCGCCTACTACTCAGTAGGTACTGCATTTGAATTCAAACGTACGACTCGGCCGTTGGAAAAGTACGTTCTATACAGTATGAATGTGAAAAGTATGAATGGAATTCAGACATACTACATCCATCATTTTGTCACGGTCACTACCTGCGTCAGTTGCGTCGTTTCACTTCCATTCATGAATTCTCTCACGGGGCATTATGGGATAGCGCAGCGTGCATGGGATGCGCACTTCAGAATCTCGCCGGAAGTAGTAAGTCATCCGAGTACTTCTAGCCTACTGATTTTCGAATTCTATGAATTCGGACATACTACTCGGCTCGCATACTGATTTTAGTGTACTATATAGTATGGAAGTATGCGGTTTCGGACGCAGCCCATGTCTACATGCCTAAATGCACTGAGTTGGTGCCATGCGATTGGCTGGTTAACGAGCAGTTGGACCAATGTACCTAATAAAGTGGCCGGTGAATATATGTAAAATATATAAGTAATGTCTTTTACATCACAAACATTTCACAGAAACATGTATGAGAAATATATTAATTCACATGGATATTACAGTACATTTGGTTATTCGAAAGATTTTATTAGACTTTAACTTAAGCTAAATCTGTAAATGTACAAACTAACATTAGTAACTAATTAGCATATATGACTCAAATATGGTATCAAATTATGAAAGCATTGTTTTGTTGGGTTTCAATAAACAAAAATTGATGATGAGAATTACTCTATTATAAATGTAATAAAAATGTTGAGCAACACATACAAGTGTTATATTAATCTTGTGAATCTCTGTTAGTCATTTGCCTAATGTCATCCTCCTGGCTTGTGTGTTTGTGTATGTGTGTGTGTGTTTGTGGCGCAGCTGGACACACTCTGGAGCTGCTGGAGCCTCTGGTGAAATTTCAGGTGGGCTTAAAAAAGCTCAACCTGCATGAAGAGGAACATGTGCTGCTCATGGCCATTTGCCTGCTGTCTCCAGGTCAGAGCATATACACACCAAACATTACACAGACTGACACTTTAAAAACATCGAGACTTTTTATTTCCTCTCTAAATTCGAAATGTACATGTTGTCTAAATGTACATTTGAAAATTAGCAAACAAATAAAGTAATTGTGATTTTTTTATTTTTTATTATTATTTTTTTTTCTCTGACGGTAGTTTATATCGTAAATGTCAATTTTATTTTCCACCATATATGATTAATCCAAAGTTTATTTACACTGTTAATCTCACAGTTTAATTTTGGTCTGAGAATCTGAATTTGCATCATATTGTTTGACTTTTTCTGCATTATGAAATGACATGTGCTGCAAGGTTAATTATCTTATATCTTCTTAATGGTTTGACTAATTAAACATTTTTTAGATGTTTTTGTCAGTATTGTCTATTGATGATAAATGCCAAATTTTGTGTATATCCATTAAGTGGTTTAAGAGTAGATTACTTTTTTGTCCACGCAAAATGGTTGCTCTACTACCACTTGCTGTGTCAGTGTTGTCCACCAGAGGGAGTCGTTTCTATGGAATGACTCGTTAATAGGTATATTCACACAGACTTTTTATTTCAGCCAGTCAGCCTCAGGTAAAGTCTTTTCTTTATAAAAATGCTGTTTAATGTGTGATTTCTTTAAAAATCAGCAATCCTCATTGCCTGATAGATATACGATATAAAGTGGGTCTCAGACTGGACAAGAAGCACTGTATTAAATTCTATTTCCCCCTGCCATCTCTTTAAAATATGAACTTTTATTTTACCCCAATATTTTCAATAGAGTTTCTGCGTTCACCTGCTGCACTAGTGGTTACACGCTGTTTCATATTGTTTTACACCTAAATTACTAAATGCTTAAGACTATTTAACTGAATGTATTGTAATTACATTACAACATTGATGCTGTAAAAGGAATTAAATTGAAAATAGTCACATTAAGCTTACACCAGAAGTTTATAGTCCGCTGAAAAACACTTGCTGTGCATTTACCTCATTATGTTTTCAATGAGACTTGTCTATTGAATCTTCTCATGCATTTCTCAATGCCATAACAAATTTTTTGAATTTATCACAAAGTTGTAACATTTTAAGTTCAGCTTGGATAGCCCTGTCACTGGTAATTGGGTGAAAATGGTTTATGGAAACAAAATGTTTAGCATTTGATTTACATAAAAACAGCACAATGTCAAGATTTTGACATCAGTTTAAAGCAGTTCTTTAACATCAGTAGTGATGTGATTTTGATGTCTTTTCATCATCAGTTGCCCAATGGCTTGCGCTTGGACCCTGATGATTGCTGGCTTTATTTTTTGTCAGTTCATACTGTGCAATTCTTACCTTTTCTCTCATTTGCGAGTGTATATTTCACAACTGCAGTTTAGAAACTCCTAAAAGCTGATTTATACTTCTGCATCAAATGCCCGCGTATGCTCTGGCACAGCCTTTGTGCGGTCGCATAGCCCTTGCCATGGCTGATGAGCACCTTTTAAAGAATGTTAGTAAACGTCGCAACAATGCATAGAGCAAGCTCTGTAATTGGTGGCATGGGACCAGCCACAAGAGGAGGTGTAGGAAAGTGGCATTAAAATCTGACTCCACTTCGCGTGCACGCACATCACGCAGTGGCTGCAGTTAAACTCTCAGCGGTTTATCATGACACTTTGATCAATCTTTTTTTTTGACAGCAAGAACAAACATAGAAGCATTGTCTGATTGACAAGCAGCACCTAATTATGTTTAAAAAAATGTAAAACTGCAAATAGGATAGATTTACACCCCATTTTAAAAGTAAAAGATACTCTAGGTAGTGTAATCTACACAACATTAAGTGCAGTGTGTGGGTGAGAGGGGGGGGCAGTGTTTCGATGTGAACCGGTTATGATGTGGTTCTGTGACCGCTGGTGTTGGTTGCTGTATGGTTTAAAATTATGACCGTTACAGTAACTAGCTTAATTTCTAATTAAATTAATTAAAAATATATAAAAATATTAGTCTAATACTTTAAGTGTTTTTTTTGTGCGTGTTTGGGTGGGTTTTGGACAGCTGTAAAAAACTCTGATAAATCTGGCAACACTGCCTGAATGCCATGTGAACCCGTTGGAGTGAGTGTTTACAAGTGTCGAGTCCCGTGAGGGAGCTCCAGGTGGAAAGTTTTGTTTTTGTGTTTACCTTATGTTAAAGTTGCTGCACAGCCATCGATTCCTGCCTCAGAATGAGCAAGCTTTAGCTACTTCGTCACTTTGGAATTGTAAGGTTCTATCTGCGTTCTGAATCATTTTGAGATAATACATTTTTGCATTTCATAGCAAACAGATTGTGTTTAACTTTTTTTTTAAAAAAATAAAAAGTCTTAAAATGTAAACAACTTATAAAAAACATCCCATAATGTCAATGTCAGTAACTCAGTTTTGACAAAAATGTCGGATAGAACCATATAGTTCTAAGGTGACGACTTGTACATTAAGGTAGCGTCCAGAAAAAACACCAGCACCAAAGAAATTTTACACAGCGGAACTAAAACATTGCACTGCCAGCATTTCTGGAGTGTTAATGCAGAGCAACGCATGATCACTTAACGCAGAAGTATAAAGCAGCCTTAATAGTGAGTGTACATGTGACTGTATTTCTGTGTTTAATTTATCTTTTGTCTCAGAATTATAAGTTTCTGTCTTGTATACTTATTATGAATTAAAAAATTAAGAGTGTCTTCATTTAGCACACACACACACACATACCAAAACATTGCCCAGACTGCAGCTTTAAAATCCTGCTTGTGATTTCAGATTGTACTCTCGTTAATGTGTATTTGTGTGTTCCACAGATCGGCCCGGGGTGCAGGATCACGTGCGAGTGGAAGCGTTGCAGGACAAGGTATCTGAGGTTCTGCAGGCCTACATTCGCGCACATCACCCGGGGGGGCGTCTGCTTTACGCTAAGATGATCCAGAAGCTGGCGGATCTCCGCAGCCTGAACGAAGAGCACTCCAAACAGTACCGCTCGCTTTCCTTCCAGCCCGAGCACAGCATGCAGCTCACACCTCTGGTGCTGGAGGTGTTCGGCGGGCAGGTCACCTAGCAAATTCACCCCCGTCAGGAGAAGTGCTGCGGCTCAGACACACAGCGTGGAGTGGAGTGAATGTATGGACAATCACCTTAAAACACATACAGAGTTTCCAGGACGAACTTTGTGAGTGGTGTGTTAGTATGTATGGGTGTGTGTCATTTACAGATCGCTTAGGGAGTGCCATAGGTGTTTCAGTTAGGTTTTTCGTGTTTTAGAAGGACATTCTTATGGGAGCTTGTTCTTGCCATGGAGTGTAAAAGAGAAAAGATTGTAGTGAGTTTTTATTTCACAATTCTCAATTCTTGTTTTTTTTTTTTTATTAAAAAGCAATTCTGGATGATTTTGGGACTATTTTAAGGTTATATTATATATAACGGAAGCCCTAATCCAGCAAGGTGGAAAAAAAGCAATCTTGGTGGTTTTAACAATATAATGAAGTCATTATAACAACATAATATCTCGTTATAACAAGATAAGTTATATCTTTTTTTTTCTCACCCCTAAGATTGCTTATTTTCACCTTGTGGTTCAGGGCTTCCATAATTAAACGTCTTATTGTTATTGTAAAATAACAACTAATTTAATGTAACACTTCGGTGACTGGAATGTCACTTGCCCCACCCTAAATTTCAAAGTTGAAGTCGGTCGTGATTGAGTGCTGGACAGAAGGAATCAAATCTGGAGGCGAATAAATGTAAAAACAAAATATTTTCTTAACAGTCTTTCCAATAAAAAAATGACTAACATATAAACCTAATGTGAAAAATGTGCATGCAATATCGGCAGTTAAAACAATACAAAACTATGCATTGCTAAATCAATCAAGTATCGAACATATCTTGTGAAAACTAAACTAGGCTAGGCAAATAAACACCTACAGTGTTTCACAGCTCTTTATGGGTTACATTTAAGGACAAAATTTTAATCTGGAACAACAAGTGAACACATCAGTGCCTGTATAATTGAATATGCCTGGTAAAATTCCCATTGTAAAGCTCTTTGATTTCAGATTTTACTTAAAGCATGCACATTGACCGGTCTTATTCTGCCATCTTGTGGCTCAAATAGAAATTAACACAATTATGTCGAAAAAACGACTGAACTATGTCAAAATAACAAATTAAATATGTCGTTTTAACAAGATATTATGTTGTTATAATGAGATATTATGTCGTTAAAACTAGGTAAATTTTTTTTTTTCCTCATCGCCAAGATTGCTTTTTTTCACCATGTGGTTCAGGGCTTCTGAAAAATATAATTCAGACTTCTGTTCTAAGTGTTGGAAATTTATATATTTTTTCAGTTCTGACGTTTTCAATCTTGCTCTTGAAAGTTATTAACATTGTGAATTTACATTTTGCAGTTTAGACTTTCCCCCTTAAAATTTTTGATTTACTTAGAATACAACTCTTACTTTTTAGTTACCACAACAAAATAAACAAATAAAAAGTTATTTACTTTTATAATAAACAAAGATATTTTATCACAACTTTACTCATTTTTCCCCCCTGCAGTTTAGAAATTTAGACTTTCTAGAACTAGGGGTTCATAACATGAAGCAGTTCTGACGTTGTCTAGCAATTTTGAGTTTGTAAATTACAAACTACATTTCGCAATATATATATATAAACTTTTTATTCAATGTAAATGCAGTTCTAGTTAAATAACATCTAAATTTCTAAACTGCAGGGGAAAAATATTTGCTTATTATAAAAAAAAAACTTTTTTTATTTGTTTACTTTGTTGTGGAAATTAAAAAGAAGAATTTTATTCAAAGTAAATGTATTAATGCATCTGTCATTTATATAAAGAACTACATTTACTTTGAATACAATTCTACTTTTTAGTACCACAAAAAAAAAAAAAACTTTTTTTTTATAAGCAAAGATTTATTTTCACAACTTTTTCCCCTGCAGTTTAGAAATTCAAACCTTATAGAACTAGAGGTTCAGAATATGAAGCAATTTTTACATTTTCTATCAATTTCGAGTTTATAAATTGACAACTACAAATTTTGCAATTTGTATATAAACTTTGTATTCAAAGTAAATGCAGTTCAAGTTCTATAAAGTCTTTTTTCCTGCAATTTAGAAATTCAGAAAATTGTAATTAAATTTTTTTAAAAAAAAATAATGTTTTTTTATTTGTTTATTTTGGTGTGGAAACTAAAAAGTATAATTGTATTTAAAGTAAATGTAGTTCTATATATAAACGATAGATGAATAGATACATTTACTTTTAATACAATTCTACTTTTTCATTACTTTTTAATAACTAAAGTTTCATAATATATAACAATTCTGACATTTTCAAGCAATTTTGTTATCACTATTCATAAACTGATAATAGTGAGTTTAATTTTCACAATTTTGACCTCATTCCCTCCAGATATATAAATTAAATTGAGCAAAATATTTTTTTTCTTCTGCTTTGAAATCAACAAATCAAAGGTAATTGTAAATTTACCATTTTTAAGTCTTATAACAACTTTTTTCCTCGGAGTTGCAAATGAAGTCATTTCTTTTTTTCCCCCATGGCAACAATAATCTTCCATGCATTCTTTCAAGAATGCAACACCTTTATGCTGTTTGTTTCACTGTGGCATCTAAATACAGTAATATTTTACTGTATCACAAATAGCCAACAGTATTACCCTGCATGTGTAGGATGAGTGTGTGAGTGCGCGGTCCTGTTCTAAACCTCTGCATGTTCCCCAAAGCGCTGTCCACTACTGCTGATGTTCTGTCTCTTCACCTCCTGCCTTTAAATGCACAGGGTTAAAATACTAATGCAAGCACACAGCTCTAACTCACCTCTCTCGCCTCGCCACTTAACCAATGAGACGGCAGCTCCGCCCCCTCTCCTCTGCCTCCAGAGCTCTGATAGGTCGCTGAGCAATGGCTGTCTTCTCTACTGTTATTTGCCTGTGCTGTGATTGGCTGATTACCCGACGCCTCTGCAATTAGTGCTTGCCACACAGCTAACCTGTAAATAAGACTCAGTATCTATATTCTTACTTTTCCAATCAGTGTAAATAGAGTTTGATATTAGTGCTTCTTGTGGCTTATGGTAGAATCTAGCAGAGGGAGACCCTGCAGCCCTGGCTGGTTATAGTAATCAGTGTATAAAGGTAAAGGCTGTAAGCTAATTGTGCATTTGCACAAAGGAAATTGGAAGCATGAAATCTGAGAGCTTTACCGCTGTTCTTTTTACATTGCAAAATCATTTGTTGAATCATATAGCTTATGTATTTCTCAATGTTGGCATTCCAGTTCTCCTTTTTTCAGCTTTATTTTTTTTTCGTTTTAGCTTTACCCATCACATTTGTTTTTCTTCATGACAAGTTATGAATTTATTTATTTATTTGAATCCTTTAGCTTTATTTTTATTTCACATGTATAGTACATTTCACATAAGCAAGCATTACAATGGCTGGGTCATATTTCAACATTTTCAAAAGAAAGAAATTATCTAATATGATTTCATTTTAATTGCTATAAAATGATCATGTTATCATTTTTCTTATACACACTTAAACTTTTAAAGGCATTGTTCTCAAAATAATGACATTTTTGTCACAGTTTGCTCATTCTTTACGTGTTTCCAACCCTTAAGTATTTCTTTCCTCTGTTGAACAGAAAAGAGGTTGTTTCAAAGAAAGCTGGAACTATTGGCTTTCATGTTATTTGTTTGTCTTACTAAGGATGAACACTACCATACAAAAGTCTTGTTGTCAAGCCTAGTTGTAAGAGCAACAAATAACTTCTAGTTGATCGTTTGGAAAAGTGGTAGAAGGTAGATTTATCTGATGAATCATCTGTTGAACTGCATCCCAATCATCACAAATAATGCAGAAGACCTATTGAAACTTGCAATGACCCAAGATTCTCACAGAAATCAGTCGAGTTTGGTGAAGGGAAAATCATGGTTTGGGGTTACATTTGGTATCGGGTCGTGCAAGAGATCTGCAGAGTGGATGGCAACCTCAACAGCCTGAGGTATCAAGACACGTGTGCTGCCCATTACATTACAAACCACTGTAGAGGGCAAATTCTTCAGCAGGTTAGCGCTCCTTCTCATACTTCAGCCTCCACGTCAAAGTTCCTGAAAGCAAAGAAGGTCGAGGTGCGCCAGGATTGGCCAGCCCAGTCACCAGACATGAACATTATTGAGCCTGTCTGGGTTAAGATGAAGGAGGAGGCCAAAGAATCTTGATGACCTCAGGGAGTCTTGAAAGAACGCTTTCTTTGCCATACCAGATGACTTTATTAATAAGTTATTTGAGTCATGTATAGATGTATGGATGCAGTCCTCCAAGCTTATGGGAGTCATACACCATATTCATTCATTTTCCACTGCACCATGACTTTATATTCTATACTCCACATTATTTCTGTTAAGTGACAAGACTTTTGTCTGAGCAAAGTCAGACCTTACTGCTCTAATTAATTAATAATCAAGGCATGATCATTTTATTTTGGCAAAATAAGTGTAATCTAGAGGCCTTTACCTTTCATATAAGCCACTTCTGATACCAAATGATCAACTAGAAGTCAAGTTGTTATTTGCTGTTCCTAAAACTTGGATAGGCGACAACACTTTTGCCAGGTGATGTAAATGATTGGAGGTTTTCAGCTTTCTTCAAAATATCTTCTTTTGTGTTCAACAGAAACTTTGCAACCACTTGAGGGAGTGTAAATGCTGAGCAAACTCATTTTTGTGTGAACATTACTTTTAAATAATGTTTTTTTTTCTTTATTCATATTAAAGCAATTTGTCATGATTGTCAGATTTATATATAAGAACGAGGACGTGAAATATGACCCTGTTATCTTCTTGACAGGTTTTGGGAGATTTAATTTTGGATTTGGATGACTTTAGTGGGACTTTAAAAGACTTTACTAAGAAACAAGGCTTACTTTTTTTGATAACTCTAATAGCAACATTCTGGATAATTTATTATCTTGACACTTGTAAACCGTAACAATGGTTGTACATGCAACCCTGGAGAA